ACTTTCAGCATATGAAAAATTGCAAAGACTGATTGAAAATTAAAACAAACTCTAAAATAGTACTTGATGAATAAACTAAACAATAAATATTTAAACAAGGTGAAGATAAAGGTTATAAAGATGCTATGGAAGTGTTAAATAGTAGGTTTACGAAAAATGAATCATTCGGTAATAATCAAAATATAGGAATGATAAATAATACTTTAAAATAATTTGTATTATTAAAAAACATATATTACTTGAGCATATATTATGTATTACTTGAACATAACATATGTTAAAGGGATTTAAACAAAGTATGGATGATTTAAAAATCATCCATACTTTGTTTGATGATTTTTAAATCATGTCATACGTGAAAGCTACTGATATTGAAAAAAGAGAAAAAATAGTAAAAGAACTTGATATAATAAAGAAAAGTGTATATCAAGATTCTATAAATGAAAAGTTTGGTGATGATACTCTACTAAACTAAAAGTTGTACAAGCCAACAATAGATAGCCAATCTGGTATGAAAGAAGGCATATCTAAATTAGAAAATAAAGCTGAGCAATTAGCAATTACCTTTTCAAATCCAAAAGTAATACCTGAAACTAAAGAATTAATGCCACCTGAAGTTATAAATAACATAACATTAGGAGCTATTGCATCAAGCTATCTAAAGTTATATACTTCTAATAATAGTAAAAGAGATTATCAGATACTACATTCGGTATAAATTACATTGAAGATAATGAAAAATTTTATATTGGTAAAAAACCGATAACTATTGAATGTGATGATAAAACTATTGAAAGTAAAAAATACATTGGAACTGCTGGTCTCCAGGGTTTAATAGTAAAATCTCATCTTGTTTAACATAATAATGATGATCGTAAAAAGTATAAAGAAATTTTAGATCAAACAGATGCAATTCGCTCTGATATAATCCTAAGTAAACCAAGATCATTTAAAAGTTAAAAATACACTTAAATAATTAAGCCTATTTGGGAAGAGATAATAGAAAAATCTGGCAAAGGAGTCATCATTCTTCCTAGTGATCCAAATGCGCTATTTGATATGCTTAAATTACGCATAGCTGTTTTAAAAGCAGGTAATACTGGAGCAAGAAATGAAGCTGTTGCTATTGGCGATGAGTTGTTACGACGCGATGAGATAGATAACAATGAGTATACTTTACTACAGAGTACAATATAATAAATTAATTATTTATGCAAATAAATTAAATAAAATTGATGTATATATAAAATGGCAAAATATTATGATTATAAATCTTTCTGAAGGTTAGAAAGAAAAAATTAAAAAAGCAATTGAATCTGAGACTAACGCTGTATTATAAAATAGCTTTAACAGATTCAAAAAGAAATAGATTTAAATTTCACTACTTAACCTCAAGATGCTGTTACAAAGAGCTATGTTGATAATATACAAAATCAAAGTTTAGATATCATTCCCATTAAAGTTTAACATGGTTTGGAATAAAATTTCAAGCATTCTATGCAACTCCAGGATCATACACTATTTTTAGCTATAGTGGTAGTTCTGGAATTCTAAGAAAACTGTGGATTGCATTTACAGGATCTTTTACTGCACCTAATACTGTAGCTGATACAGTATTTTTAAAAATATATGCTGATAATGTACTTTGCATAGGTAATGAGTCTATTGTAACAGATGGTGTAGGTATTAACAATACAGCTTTAGCATGTAATTTTTTATTTTCACCACTTGGAGGACCATTTTATGAAAACTCTTTACAAGGATGTAATGTATCTAGTACTAGTGCATTAGGAAGATATTTTACATTTGATCTTTACATCAAGTTTCTAGATACAGTTATAAAACAAAACAGGCCATCCAGTAACCTTTTGGTTACAACCTTTTACCACAAGAACTTCATTGTTGCAACAAAAATTAACTACTATTAATCCGCTAATACCTAGATCCATCTCATCCATTAAGTTGTACTCACAACATTTAGATATGTAAATAAAACTTAAGGAAAAGAATATATGTTGATGAACACTATGGATAATGGAAACGGTATTTATTTAAAATATATTAGAATGCATGTCATTGGAGGATCTGGAAACTTGTGGGATCCATATCCATCGGGATCCATATCCATCGTATATATGATGGATATGGACCCCCTACAATACTAACTCAGTTATTCAACCTTAGACACCCAATAGTGGCAATTATTGTACTATACTTCTTGAATATGATGTTAACAGTCGATGCATCTACGTTTTATTAGGAAGATTAGAAGATTTTTATCTATCTTCATGGAATGGATCGAATATAAGCTTATTAAAAAATACATCATTAGGATTGTTGAATCAATCAAGTAGTGTAGTTGGTCCGACAACTAAGATTTCATTTTATAGAAACTTTGACTCATCTGAAGGTATGCCTAGCGTTGGTAATGGTAGAAGAATGGTTGTCAAACTCAACTCTACAAATGATCAAGTTGGACAATCTGGAAGCTCTTCTGCATTAATAGGAAAATGCTACTATTATGCATAATAAACCTACGCTTGCGCACTGACAAGTCACGTGACCAATGACAACAAACAAAAAAATCCGCAAAGGCAAGAAACGAAGTTGGCTCTAATTTGAAAACTGATTTTTGAATTTAAAAAATTGATTCAAAAAATTTATTACTTAATTAATAATAATTTCAACACAATGGATGAAAATGAACCATAAATTTAATTAAATTTATAGTTAAATAAAAAGTTAAAAATGAAAATAAGGCAGAATAAGCAATACTCTTGCAATACATCCTTGAAACTAACCTGCAATAAAATTAAATATATGGTAGAAAAAATTGTTGAAAATGAAAATGACCCAGAACCCGCAGAATATATCTACTGGCATTAGGCTCAAAAAGAATATTTAACGTTCACATTTTTTATCTTAATTACCTTCAACAACTTAAATTTGCCATATAATTTCGTTAGTATAACTTTACCAGAACCAGTTCTAATTCGGATTTTATAAGAATTACAGATTTTAATGGAATTACAGGTTACTTGGAAAAAAAATAGAATTCTCACTTTTCTGACATAGTTATAAATTCTTTTGCAAAAACGTGTTCTTCGTGGTGGTAAACAAAAAGGCAGTGGACAACATGAACTTTTATTGGTAATATTTTTAAGAGAATTGTTTGGTTGCTTTGTTGATCTTCCAAAATTTAGCTAAGTTATTTGTTGCAGCTCGCATTATGTGCTAAAGTACCTGATAATGATATTAAAAAGGTACCAAATAGTATATTGTTATACTGTTGCTGTTCCTGAATTGTTATGTCTAATTTTTAAATATTCATTTATTTTTAAAAACAATAACAACCACGTTACAGTAATTAATTTAATAATCTAAAAATTAAATATTAGTTATGCTTAGTAACAAATTATTGGTTATATGTAGTCTATCTGTTAGTCAGTCTATGCAAACCACTAACTCTTTCAGATTTTTTAATATAGTTTGCATAAAAATTTATCAGTAGAACTTATTTTGAAAAATCTTCAATTTTTCAGAATTTAATTTTTGACGACATGATGGCAGCTGCGCATATTGTTAAAAGTACTAAAACGATTATTTTGAAAGGTGTAATAAAAGATATGCTCATTAAAGAAAGTTTATGTATAAAAACTAAAAGTGAGATATCTGCCAAATTGTTGTAAATTAAGTGCTGTCAAAAATTTTGAAATCCTACTAACTGTTAAAATTGCATTAAATTGTATAAAGTAGGCAAAACAAGGGTTGGGAAGAGTGGCTAAGAATACTTAGATTGATGACTTTATAAATATAGACCAGCCAATGAGTGCATATATTTTGTTATTTATACATACATACATTTTTGTTAGTTTTAATTTTATTAATAGTTTTATTTTATTTGAAGTTAGGTGAGAAGTTCTCCTAAAAAAATTTTTTGTTGTTATTTGATACTTTAATTGTGCAGATCAGTTGTTTGATAACTCAAATAAACCGGTCAAACTTTGTACTTGGATGAGAACAAGTTGTTCTTCAATTAGCAAACACAGATTTGTTCGATAACACTAAGATAGAAATGCTAAATAATTTGCTCATCAGTGTTAAGCAAAAGAAAATCAGACATGGTCTAGACACAAATGATTTTAGATTCCGACAATTTTTTAACTGATCTTAACCATGTTAGTTCGGAAAGCTGGATCCTCAAAATATTATTGGAGTTTCTAAAGGAAATGGTGATAAACGAGATAAAAAAAAAATTTTTTCTGTAATATTTTTGAGAGTTACTAAAATTTGTTCAGCAGGAGAAAGTCATGCAACTTTCTTATAAGAAAAAGAGACTTATATGTCTTATTTAAGAGCATACTTTTTGCTGGTACATCTGCAAATCTATGGTCAAAATGAAATGCTTTTATCAAAAGAGGAGAAAAAAAGATTGCCAACTATTGCCATCAAAATTATGTTAGCTGAGATGGAAGTCACTAAAAACTAAAAATAAGAGCTCTGCAAGAAGATACTGCTCACCTCTGAAATAACAACTTTTTTTTGTTGTTGTTTAGAAAAAATTAAATTTTATAAAAAATACACTTTTTTACAAAACGCATAAGTTTTATATAGGTTTTTCTCTCATTAATTGTTAAAACTTTTTTGCTATCATTACTGATAATTTAAATAATGTTTGACTTAAAAGCGTATATATTAATTACTATTATTATAATTGTATATAAATAAGTATAAATATAAATATAAATATAAATATAAATATAAATATATATATATATATATATATATATATATATATATATATATATATATATATATATATATATATATATATGTGTATATATATATATATATATATATATATATATATATATATATATATATATGTGTGTATATATATATATACATATATATATATACATATATATATATGTATATATATATATACATATATATATATATGTATATATATATATATATATAATTTAAAAAATCTTTACCTTCGTTTCCATTTATTATTCTTAAATCTTTAATTAAACCATCTTGAGCTTGGTACCATGGATTTGATGCATATATATTTACATTTAAAAATGCTTGTGGTTGTTTATTTTCAATAATATAAATATTTTCTCCATTTAAATAAACAGCATACATATAAATATTATCGGTTTGAAACTGGGATATTCTAATACTTGACCACACAGATAACTGCAATGGTTTGGTTAAAAAAAAAGAACCAATATATCCATTAATAGAAGAAAAAATAGACAAAGCTCCTGAGCCATCACTTGAAAACCACACGCCTGGAATCCTATCCCCATATTGCGCACAATCGTCTCTTATTGTCAAATGAATTACAGATGAATAATCATTTGATAAAAATGAATTTGGTTTAATCTTAAACGAAACTGAAAATGTTTTTTCCAGTATTGGCATTGTTGCAATAAGGTTATTTTTTTCTAATGCATGCTCTTTAAGGACTGCTATCATATCTAAAAAGTTAACATAATAATTTTATAGAATATTGAACAATAATTTAATTTTTATAAACACAAATATTTTGAAAAAATTGTGATATTTTCAAGAAATGCAGTTATCCTTTACACAACTACTACTACTGCAGTTACCCTTTAAATTAAAAACTATTATACTTTAATTGATAAAATATATGGTTTTTTTTTTGGTTTAAGGTTTCTTATTTTGTTTCCCCTGTGATTACCTGTGTTAAAGTCATATTTTGTTTAAAACATATAGTGTTTTCTTAAGTTCTAATTTTTAAATTTTTTATTGAAAAATATTATATATACGTTAAAGAAATATACTTTTTAAAATTATTGTGTATGACTGTTATTATTTTACGTATGTATATATATATTTATATATATATATATATATATATATATATATATATATATATATATATATATATATATATATATATATATATATATATATATATATATATATATATATATATATATATATATATATATATATATATATATATATATATATATAAATTAGAAAAAGTTAGTAATTGGTTTTCAGCAAATAGACTATCGCTTCATCCTAAAAAAACAAAAATAATGATATTTCAAAGCGCATAAAACGTTACAAGGGGTTACTTAATGCCAAACAAATTGAAAAAAAAAAAAAGCGTTAGCATTCTCGGTATACTTTTATGAATTGGCTTAACCATATAAAACACAGATCAAAAAAGATCAGTAAAGCAATCAACGAACTGAGAAAACTCAATATACTCTTACCTGGTTTATATATATATATATATATATATATATATAAACCAGGTAAATGACAGTTGTGGTACAGTGGTTAGAGTTCTGTTTTAAAAGCTTTAAGAACTGTAACAAGTGAGCCTATTCTGCGTATACATAGAGCACTGAATTTGTATAAAATCAACATACACCAAGTTTTACTGTAATGTATAAAACAAACATAGAATTATCTCATAAAGAGTTTTATCTTATTTAGACAAAATAGTTCATTAACATCCAACAAAATTTTTAAATCACAACTTTGATGTCCTAAAATATAATTCAAAACTAACTTTATATTCAGTTTTTTATCGTGGACCTTACTTGTGGAAAGTGTTTTCCAAGATTGTAAATACACATAAAAGTAGTATAAAGTAGTTTAAAAATGAGTCAAAACAGGCATTCTTACTCATGGATTTTAATATATCCAATTTTAAATATTTTTTTTTCAACTAAAACTTGAATACAAAAAAAATATTAAAGCAAAACTATGTCACTGAGTGTATCGACATTTTTTTTTCATTGCCTCAGTTATGGTATTACCTCTCTGTCTTTTGCTATTTTCATAAGTTCAAAGAATTTTAAGAACTCTAACGTCTTAAAAAAACGTGACATACAAAAATTATAAAAATCTATTTGAAAATACCAAAAAAAAATCTAAAAAAATATATTACGCAAAATTATTAGAAAAAAAAAATGAAAACATGAAAAAAACATGGCATTTTATTTATGAAATAAGTGGAAAAAACAAAGGTATTAAAAAATATTTTTTCAATAAAACCTATGATAAATAAAAAGCTAGTTTATCAAAAAGCTTCTATTGCTGAGAATATTGTCAGCTTCTTTGCTAATATTGGGCCAAACTTAGCTAAAACAATTCCGCTGAGCTCAACAAGTTTTGATTTTTATTTAAAAAGATACAATACGCATATAGACGAATCTAAACTTAAAGTTTGCAAGTTGCAAGATGCTTTTAATAGCCTTAAAAAATATAAAAGCGCAGGTTTTGATCAAGTTAGCGCTAATCTTGTAATATCTGTACTTGATGCCATTGAAACATTTTTTTACATATCTTTAAACTTGCTTTAAAATCAGCTGTTGTTCCGGATAACTTAAAAATTGCCCGAATCACACCAATATTCATGAGTGGAGATGACTCCAACAATTCAAACTACAGACCGAATTCAATCTTGCCTTGTTTTTCAAAGATACTTGAGCGTATAATGTACAACAGGCTTTGTGATTATCTGACAAAATACGATATGTTGTATAAAAAAACTGTTTGGGTTCAAAAAAAAGCATTCAACCGAACACGCGGTAGTCAAGCTTGTAAACGAAATATCGGACGCCCTACACAACGACTATTTTACATTAGGAGTTTTCATTAACCTGTCCAAAGCCTACGATACAGTAAATCATGATATACTGCTAAGTAAACTTGAACACTATGGCATTATAAATAAAAATTTACTTGGGTTTGAAAACTGTTTAAAAAAACAGAAAACAATTTACATACTACAATTCAAAAAAAACAGTTAAACACTCAACAACTTGTGGGGTTCCACAAGGTTCTATTCTAGAGTCATTGTTGTTTCTACTGTACATAAATGAACTTTATTTATCATCAAATTTTATTCTATTTGCAGATGACTCTAATCTCTTTTATTTACACAAAGATACTAACACACATTTTAAACATGTTAATGAACAATTAGATAAAGTTAATGAGTGGTTTGTAAGTAACAAACTTTCTCTGAATGCTGATAAAACTAAATTAATTTTGTTTCAAAAATGAATAAAACTAATAGAGTTCCATTATAATTACCAAATCTCATTATAAATAATGCTTCAATTGAAAGAGAATCATCGGTTAACTTTTTAGGCGTTGAATTTAAGATGGAATTTTCATACATACAGCTTTAAAAAAAATATTTCTTGAAATATAGGAATGATTTATAGAGCTTAACCATTTCTTAATTTTAAATCACTAAAAAGTTTATACTTTTCTTTTTTCCAAAGTTGTCTAGTATACTGTAATATCGCCTGGGCAAGTACCAATCATACAAAATTAAAAAAGCTTTACAGTAAATAAAAATATGCATGTCGCATTATTTTTGTAGCAAACAGAGCAGAACCCTAAAAGCCTCAACTGTGTTTACTTGGAGCTTTAAATATTTATAAAATAAGCTTACATTAAAATTTATTTTTTATGTATAAACCTAAACTAGGAATGTCGCCAAAATTATTTGAATCCTATTTTAGTGATATCTGCCATAAATATAGCACAAGATTCGCAGTAAACAACTTTGCTGTCCCAAGATTAAGATAAAATTGAGTTGATACTCAATTAAGTATCGTGGGTTGTGTTTATGGAATTTATTTTCAGATATTACAAATAAAAAGAAAACCACTTTTGATCAATTTAAAAAAGAATCTAAATTGTTGTTCTTATTTATGGAGCTCACAATGCTAGATTTTAAATTTTTTTTTTTATAAAGTAAAATTTTAATAAAAAATCAAGATAACTTAAAAAAAATTATATTAAAAGAATGTTATTATCACAACTCACGATGATGTTACTTTCTTAATATAACTATATGTATATATCTTGTTTTTTTTTATATTAACTTCTTATTTTATTTTATTACAAATATATAATAGTTTGTTGTTTTTTTTGCAACAAAGCTGCATTCTTTTTCTTTTTGCAACTGCAGATAAAGCAAGCATTCTAGCAAATACGCCAATATAATATAAAAATATAAAAATACAAACTAATTTTTAAAAAAATTTCATTAATCCAAACAAATTTAAAAAATAATACAAAAATTAAACAAAAATTTATTACTCTCATTTCCAGTTATAATTTTAAGATCTTTAATAAAACCATCTTTTGCATTGTACCATGGGTCTGAAGCATAAACAAGAACGTTTTTAAAAGCTTGAGGCATGTTATTAGCAATACTCTGAAAAAATTTTCCATTAATATATACAGAAAATAAATAAATTCCGTCATGAATATCTTGGCATATTTGAATAGTAGACCAGCTATCAAGTAATAGTGGAGGTGTGTCAATATATCCATATAGTGTTCCGTTGGCCGAATAATGAATGCGCATTGTTCCAGAACCATCATTTATAAACCAGACAGCAGGGTTTCTATCTCCATAGCGTGTCCTATCATTTCCAAGAGTAACACGAATAACGCTATCCCAAGTATGTGAGTATGATAACGGTTTTACTTTAAAAATCACATAGAATCTTTTATCCCAAGATGCAAATGTTGTAATCGCATTGTTTTTTACCAATAAATGCTCATCAAAATCAGAAAAAACATCTAAAACAGAAGTATTTTTTTTATATAAAACAATATTAATCTAAAACTGTTTATATAATTAAAAATTAACTTCGTGTTTAAATAAATATATTTTAAAGCGCTTTTTTTTAAGTCTTTTTTTTTTTTAATTACAACTTATGATAAATTACACATTATATTTTTTTTAAAAAGTAGTTTTAAATAATATAAGTTTTAGATGCAAGCTCAAACGGCAAACGTTTTATAAAAAAAATTGTTGCAATAAGTTTAACGATTTATTTTTAAAGTGATTTATTTATAAGAAATACTTTTTTATAGACTATATTGATTGTTCTCGTTTTTTTTTTTTGTTAATTGCTTGTCTCCATTGTTACATATTTTATTCTGATACTATATATATCTATCTCACAGAGATAAAGATATAAAAATTTTTTTTAATAATCAAGGTAGAAGAAAAGTTATACATAATATAACTAAAGTTATATCTTTAGTTATAATATGTAATACTTAGTTAAAAGCTGAGGTTCCGAATAGATTTATATATATTTTTTTCATGTTACAAAAGCCATGACGAGACTAAAAGTGTCAATACCAATTAAACTCTCCTTAGGCAAGGTTCAATACCTAAATCAAATCCGCCAGATAGAAGCATTTCATTTTAAAATCCTTTTTTATGTACGATGAAGAAGTTTTTTTATATTCTTTAAACATAACTTTAAAAAATATTTTTTTTATTTTTGACAGAAGTATAAATTTGTTCACCATTTTGATATTTACTTTCATGTGAAATGTTTTATGTCTTTTTTTTTAAATTCAACTTTACTTTAATATTGGTGTTGTTGTTCAATGTTGTTGAAAAAATTTTAGTCATTTTATTTGATGAATAATGAAAGACTAACATGCTTAAATAAAGTTTTTTTTTAATATTTTGAAAGTTGGTTATTGTCAATAGATCAAAAACCTGAATGTTTACAAAATTTAATTATTAATTGAACTCGATCAAATTCAGCAACTTTTACTCATTAATTACCCAAAAGCAACTTGAAAAATATCGATTAACCCAATGAATTATACAGGATACAGTTGACCACGAGATACTCCTAGACAAATTAAAGATATATGGAGTAAAAAATAACAATCTAAAATGGTTCAGAAATTACTTAAATAACAGAAAAAAATTAGTGTCGTACAACTCAACATGCACACGGTTACAAACAATTAGTTGTGGTGTACACCAAGACTCCATATACATATATTGGTGTACACCAAGACTCCATATATATATATATATATATATACATATATATATATATATATATATATATATATATATATATATTTATATATATATATATATATATATATATATATATATATATATATATATATATATATATATATATATATATATATATATATATATATATATATATATATATATATATATATATATATATATATATATATATATATATATATATATATATATATGTATATATCTATATATATATATATATATATATATATATATATATATATATATATATATATATATATATATATATATATATATATATATATATATATATATATATATATATATATATATATATGAGGGTACCTACATGTATGTAAAATATACATATATGTATATTTTTAGGTACCCTCACATCCGGTTATTTTTTTGACATCGCCTTTTTAATGTTTTTGGATTATAAACTACGCTATATGCATGGAGAAAACAGTGTTTAAAAGCTAGAAAAAAATAAACTGTCAATTTTTATCATATCTTTTTGTTTAAAATACAGGTTAAACTTGTTTATAATTCTCTAGTTTTTAAAAATTTGCGAATTCTTCACTGTCAACAAATTTTGCCAAAATAGGTAATTTTCATTTAAAGAAATTAACATAGCAATATAAATGCTCATAAATAATTTTACATGCTTAAATCAATTATTTATAGATCTTTCATTTGATATATAATAACCGGTACTACAAAATCTCCTTCTTGTTTAAAAAAGTTTTTTTCTGACAAATAATTTATTGTTGATAGCGCCATATTTTTTATATAATAGTCATTGTTGCTTTTTACTTTTATTTACTTTAGATGGGTACAAGACTGCAAAAATATTTGCGTTTTAATTAATTTATTTTAATATCAATCGAAGCCTTTGTTAAATAATGACATTTTCGGAAGTTTTTCTGAAAATAACTTCAATTTGTCAAAAACTTCTCTGAAATCAAAAAAACTGAAAGTTGAAACTAAAAATGCATCTGATTTTAAAATATTCACAAACAATATAAGATACTTGCATATAAGATGAAAATCTTTAAACAAAACCCTACTTTTTGCAGCAACCATTTAAATATGAAAGAAAAAGAAATAGTTCTAATAAAAATATTCAATTGAACATTGCAAGTTATTTAAATATTACCTCAGACACAATGTAAAAAATAAAGTGGGATTCAAATAGAATGACATATGAGCCAGGTATTTTATCATTGGTGAGGCACTCATCTATTGTGAATGTGCAACAGTAGTGTTTGATGCAACCACCGTTTTAGAAAAACATGTAAACGTGTTTATTATCAGTACCTATCCTCAGCAGAGATGTTATTTCTTATTAATTGCTGAACTTGCTGGAGGTACAGGATTTGACTGTGCCACTCATATTGTCAGTGTAATTAAAGAACATGCCAATATATTTGTTTAAAAGTATGCCAGCAGTAAAAGCTTTAGACGTATTCATTCAAAAAATCAAAAGTTGTCTGTCAGACGGAGCACTTGTTAATAACTGTGTGAGAAACATGCTTCAGGAGGAAATAGACATTCAATTAATGCAACTGCACTGCAATGTTCATCCATTGGAAAATATTGCCGTAAAAGCATTATTAGCTCTTAAAACAATAGATAATGAGATGAGGATTAAACCGTCTAAAGGAACTGATGGGTTTGCAGTAACAGTCCTCAAAAATATTTCTAAGATAAGGTAATATTTAATTTGTATATCTTTATTGTTTATTTTTTTTTCAGTTTTTTTTTTCTTGTGAGCACTTGCTTTTTTATTATTTCCACGTTTTAAAAATATAAAATTGTAGTTTCTTTACCCATTAAAAATCAGGTACAGTTTTAAATGCAATCATGCAGCATTCAAAAGCTATTTTAAAAAAACAATGTTGCTCCAGGGCTATGTCTTCAATATGTTGGTAGTAAGTTTCATGTTTTTTTCCATATGGCAGGGGTTGTCAAATACAAAAGACTTATAAAACCTTTTTTGGAAAGTAAGTTTTTTTTTCAGAAGAAAATTAAGTTTAATAAAATTCTATGTATTAAAATTTTTCGTTATTCTAGTAGCAACAAATAAAATTAAAATTAATACAAATAAAAATTAATACAAAAAAAAAAAAAACAAATAAAAATAAAATTAAAAGCAAAAAATAAAATTTGCGACTTCTCACTTCAAGATATGTGTAATGATATAACGCTTGTGCAACTGCAAGGGTTAGGACTGATAGGAAAAATAATAACTGGGCGATGAATGTGTCTGGTTTATCAAAATGTAACAGGAAAGCGTAATCTTAATCTTGAGTTTTTAAAGTTTTAGGTTCTTAATCTTGAGTTTTTAAGGTTTTTTAGTAAATTAATAAAGTAGTTTAAAAAACGTACAAGCATACTTTTTTAATAGGGTGACATTTTCCAGAGAGCAAAAAGAAAATTAGCTTACATCAAAAGTAATCTAGAATCAATTCTTTATACAGATTTGGATACTTTTAGTCAAGTATTAAATGTCAAAGAAGATAAGGTACACTAACTCCTTTGTGTAATAAAAAACAAAAATATATTGGTGAAGATTTTATCAGCTTTGATAAGCTACACAGAGACAGTTTTTAAAAGACAGATGGTCAGGTATTTGACTGGCAATCTCTCAAATCCGTCAAAAAAAAATGATGAAAACCGCATTATTTGCTACACCTTATACAATGGAGGCTAAAAGGATCTGAGGTATGCTTAACTTTTTTTTTGTCGTGCTCTTAATGCTACTTTTGGTTTTCTGGATTTAAATTATATAAAAAGCCAACCACAAGTTACCCTACCTCTCTTAAGCTGCATTTTCTTTACTACTATAAAAAGTTCTTCAATCTTTTAGTAACCTTAAATAATATATCCTAAATCATTGTTTAGTTAGTGCGACCATAAATCATAAACCCATGCATAAAATCATAGAACAATTTACCATATTTTATTCAATCAATCAATCTATATGTTTTTCACAAAAATAGATATCATTTTTAATATAGCATAATATTACAATAGTTTAATTTGTGAAGGAACAATGGAAATAGTATAAAAACAATTCTATGCAGAGACCTTAAAAAACAAAAAACAAAAAGACCTTGTAAAAAAATGGAATAATTTCATGGGATAATTTTGTATATATATATATATATATATATATATATATAATATATATATATATATATATATATATATATATATATATATATATATATATATATATATATATACGTATATATTCAATTTAAATCACTAAACTCTACTATTAAAATTTGTTTTCATGCCTTTTTTTGGAGAGATAGTGTTTGGAAAATGTTGGGCTCATTGTGGGTTATTATTACTATTATTATTGCTTTTGGTATGATTATATGTAAGATAAATCTTATTTTAATATTATTTTACTCTTATTTATATCATTATTACTTATTAATATTGTTCATTATATTTCTACTATTTTAATATTATTATTGCTTATTTTTCTTTAGATCAGTACTAGTACTATTTCTAAATATCCATGAAATGCATGTGTATATTTTATACACACAGACACATAATTTATGATCAACTCCAGTTGACAGGATCAACTCCAGTTGACAGGATCAACTCCAGTTGACAGGATCAACTCAAGTTGACATGATCAACTCTAGTTGACATGACCATTTCCAGTTGACAGTTTTGACAGAATTCTTAATTTTACATGTCTTAAAAACAAAACGAACTATACTACAACAGCAAACAGTTCAGGAGTCTAGAGTCATTGCATGCCATGACATGAGCAATCAGCTGACAGGTGACAGAACACACGAAAAATTTTGATGACAAGTGCCACTTTGCAGCCGAAAAAACAAATGCAAATTTTTTAGTTTGTTTCATTTTC